AAGGGTCGCGGATTGTCTTGGGAAGAGATCCACCGACGCTACTTCCCCAACAAATCGGCCAACGCATGTCGAAAGAGACACGAGAGGGTGTTGGCCAAGATGCGCGACTCTGATTGGGATGAGGCAAGGATCCAGAGGGTAACAGATGCTTACAACCGGCACCGTCATTCGATATGGCAACCTCTGTGTAAGGAGCTGGGAGAGTCGATGTCAGATGTTGAGAAAGTGGTATGCATAGATTCATCAGCTCACAGCATGTGGCGTCAAGCTAATCCACCCTCTGCCACAGATGTTTCAACAAGGGCTTCGAAACTTGAGGAACCCTTCTCGCTCCTCCGGTCATGCCCGAACCAGATCACGAGCAAGTTCTGGTCAAGGGGGTGGGAGTGAGTATGAACGTGGTTCATCCCTCGACGAACAATACGATCATACCGACGATAGTGGAATCAGCCTTGGAAACAATGTCCATAGTCGACGAGCCAGTGAGATACCGGCTGGTTTATCCACTGAGAGTCTCCCTTCTGTCAATCGCCTTCTCTCCAAGACCGGATATGGGTACACAGTATGAATGTGGGTGAAGATCGGATTGGACCGAAACTGAAAACGGTGGAAAATTGCTTGACGAGAGGATATCTAACGACGCAACGACCTGGGTCTGGCTTCCATCTGGCGCAATGCAATGAACGGCGTGCATGCAGTGTATTATTGTATCATATTCATGTACTTCCACAGCTTTTGAAGACAAATGGGAGGGCTTTAAGGAAGGAATCTAGGAAAGACATACGGTCACAGGGCAGGACTATATCGCAATGCATGATGAATCCTTTTTTTCCTTCTCTTTCTTTGTCTTCGTAATTGAAGTTATGTTTCTCGGAATGTCCCATGGGGCGAGGCTGTGCACCCTGTGGACATATTTTTTTCCACCGGAGCTTCGTTCGGCTCGCGGAGTTATATACCGAGCCCTAGACCAGATTTAGTAAGGCGCCAGATGGTTCCTGAACCGGGATTTCCTATAGCGGCTAGCGCACGGCTAAATCGATAGCGAGACAAAAAGCTCCAAATTTTTGTTTAATTTTGTGCTCCGAGACTGCGGTTTGAGCGCGAGAAAGGGTCAGAAAGGGTCACGCATCACCGCCTCTCCCATAAGCAATTTCTTGCTTCTATCTTACTCCTTTCCCGTATTTTCCTGAGTGTGTTCACCGTAGCATTCTCTACAGTCATTGTGACGGCTCTTTGACGGCTCCGTCTTTTCATTTTCCTATTTTCACCTTTAATTGTTATTTCGCGCTCGACCCGCGCCCGACCTCCTGGACCTCATTTTGAACCCCAGCATTTCGTCCGCCAGCCGCTACCTTGGTCTCCCGACAGAATCCTACTCTATTCTAGACCATGGCGACCGTTAAGGAAGCCGTAAAAGAGTCCCTACTGGGTTCGACGGCTCCTCCAAGCTTATCTACGGAGTCGCGCATGACATTTTTGAGACACTCCAACAAAGACCAAGATGGAGAGCTTTACATGAATGAGGAGGATTTTATCAATGCCATCGCGCCTCCAGAAGAAGATTATGTGAGTCTGGTCCCGGCCCCGTCACATGTCGGTTGTCTGCCAACCCACAAACTAATGCGCTCTCGCAGCACAAAATTAAACGGGAACAATATGGCATCCTCTTCGGTGTCGCCGACCGTCATAAGCGCGGGAAAATCACCATGTCAGAATGGGCCGCCTTCGACAACCTCCTGGCCAAGTCCGATGCAGAGTATGAAATCGCATTCCGATTGTTCGACGAAGATGGCACTGGTTCAATCAAGTCAGACACCTTCCAGAAGATCTACGAGCAAAACAGAGGCCAAGAAAGTATCCCCTTCGACTTCAACTCAGAATGGGCTTCATTGTATATTGGTGGAAAAAACAAGAGACATGAAATGACCTACCCGCAGTTTGCGCAGATGATGCGTGGTCTGCAGGGCGAGCGCATTCGACAAGCGTTCCATTTGTATGACAAAGATAAGGATGGCTACATTGACCCGGAGGATTTTGAGCGAATCATTCGAGCAACCGCAGGACATAAGTTGTCTGACCATCTACTGGAGAACCTCCCGACCTTGTGCAATATCTCATCAGGAACAAAGATCTCGTACGCAAACGTCCGTGCCTTTCAGAACATCATCCGTGAAATGGATCTTCTCGACCTCATCATCCGCAATGCGACAGCGAAGTCCCCAGACGGCAGGATCGACCGCACAGATTTCCTCAACGAAGCTGCTCGGTTGACGCGATTTTCTCTCTACACTCCCATGGAGGCCGATATCTTGTTCCACTTTGCCGGCCTCAACTCGCCTTCGGGTCGCTTGGGTCTGGATGACTTCGCGAAGGTGTTGGATGCGAGCTATCAAACAGCCGGTGCCAAATTGAACGCGGTGGCCGAAGTTGCCGACCGAGCCATGTCCAAATCCCAACAATTTCTTCGCAGCTTGCTCGAATCCGCACATCACTTTGGTCTTGGTTCCATTGCTGGTGCATTTGGTGCTTTCATGGTCTATCCGATCGATCTGGTCAAGACTCGTATGCAAAACCAGCGGAGCACGCGCCCTGGTGAACGACTTTACGAAAACTCAATCGACTGTGCGCGCAAGGTAATACGAAACGAGGGCATCCGTGGATTGTACTCGGGCGTTTTGCCTCAGTTGGTCGGGGTTGCTCCTGAAAAGGCCATCAAGCTCACGGTAAACGATCTCGTGCGAGGACGATTTACAGACAAACAGACTGGCAAGATCCCCCTCTGGGCAGAGATTTTCGCCGGTGGTTCGGCAGGGGCTTGTCAAGTGGTAAGTTCAAAATTCGAGGACTTTTGATCCTATGGTTTGGGATGCGAGGCACTGACGGTGCATTCCACACAATAGGTCTTTACCAACCCGCTCGAAATCGTCAAAATTCGTCTACAGGTTCAAGGCGAGTTGGCCAAGAAATCCGATGCGGTTCCAAAACGTAGTGCGATGTGGATCGTTCGAAATCTCGGTATCCTGGGTCTGTACAAAGGCGTAACAGCCTGCTTGCTGCGCGACGTCCCTTTCTCGGCCATCTATTTCCCCACGTACAGTCACCTCAAGAGAGATTTCTTCGGCGAATCACCCACCAAGTCATTGGGCATAGTGCAGCTTCTGACTGCCGGTGCCATTGCTGGTATGCCAGCCGCCTATCTGACGACCCCTTGCGATGTGATCAAAACTCGACTTCAGGTGGAAGCCCGTAAAGGAGAAGCAACATACAACGGTCTTGGTGACTGCGCACGCAAGATCCTCAAGGAAGAAGGCTTCAAGGCCTTTTTCAAGGGCGGCCCTGCTCGTATCCTCCGTTCGTCACCGCAATTCGGCTTCACATTGGCTGCGTACGAAGTCTTGTCGACACTACTCCCATTCCCTGGCTCCGAAGAGGCGGACAAAGTCAAGCTGCAAGGCGGTGTCTCGGGCGTGGCTGGCAGAGTGGAACCGGGCGTAGGCCTTAGAGAGGCAAAAGCCCCGTTGCCATACCTGCGGAGTCGCAACGCGTTGAAGATCCTGCTCGACCTGGACGTTAACTTCGGCCGGGTCAAGCCGAGTAAAGAAGCTGGGACCCTGATGCAGCAACATGCCATGGCAGCCGCCGCGAGCAAAGAAGCTGTCGAAAAGGGCGTTGGCTGGTTCGGGAGGAAATTGTAACAAAAAGTGAGAAACAGGAGAAAGCACTGGCCTTCCTCCCTCGCCCCTCGTCGCCGGCCCAAAAATCCTTTTTCTTGGTGGGAGAAACGAGTTGTGAAAAACGGGGATTGGATTGGTGATATTCCCGCCCCCTTCTTTCTCTCGCTTGTATCTTTCTGTTTCCGCTCCTCTTGCAGGCTTGTACGCATGCATGCATCAATTGGGATATGTACACGAGGGGGCGTCATTGACATAAGCATGCATGTGATTGTGCTTTTTTGTCTTATTTGTTTGCCAGCAAGCGCACGGGCGGTTTCCTCGGGCAAGGTGGGAGTTGAGAGCATAGCGCAGCGCAGCATGGGATAGCCTGGCACATTGTGCAGCGCAGCGTTGCTGGGGCTGCGGGGATGACTAGAAGTGTACTCTATGTACAACATGGACCTAGAATTTAGAGCTCTAGAGCAGCAAAGAAAGACAAACAAGAAGACTTTAGACTAACTGGCTAGGTACATAGCTGTGTAGCTAGACAGCTTACGAGGTTCTACATAAGACGGGCGGATAGATAGGGCTCATAACATAATTCCACGAAAGGGGAGAAAGCGAGAAGAGTTGGAATTCTTACATATATCCTTGTCTTTGTCACTGCATCAAATAGCCGACTAGCAAACCCACCCTCGCCACCAACTTCCCAACACATGACCAACAAGTCCTCCTTCGTACATGCGATAATGTAAGGTAAACATTCTGTATTGGTGATTACCGAGCATGGTATACAGTATCCCTCAACCCCGTCTCCGTTCCCCGCCCTTCGTCGGCGGAGTGTTTAGCACGCGCGTGCGCACACACACACACACACGCATATGTACGTAATAGTAGCCACGAGACCTACCTAGCCAGGTAGGTAAGTAGGTACCCTAGCGATTAAGAATGACGACGATCACTGTGACTGCGGGTCCTCGGTGAATCTACCCCAAGTTCTGACCTATATGAATATCTCCGTGATGCTCCATGATACTACCGTCCATTGTTCCCATATAGCCAGCTAATCATAGCTTGGGTAGGAAGTGTGTAGAAAGGCAGGCAAAGAGGAAGAGAAAATGGATGGCAGTCTTTATATATATATAGATGCAAATGTGCACATGTTGTCATGCATGCAGGCGATTTACCCACGGGGGATAGACGTACATGCTTTCCTTTCTCAGGCGTTCCCACTCGCTGTGTGGAGCTTGCTCACTCGACCAGGTATGTATTTTCTACATACCCTATCCAACTTGGCAAGTACCCTCTGGTGGCTCTTGATGTCTCTACCTCGTACCTAGTCGCTCTCTATTCATATCTGACCTCGCCGGCAACAGCATGGCACAGCTCGACCTTGACGCCCGCCGAGAGCAGGACACTGATCCACAGCCTTTGCGTGTCACTCAATCGGTCATTCGCGGATTTGACTTCGGCGAAGAGAACCTCACCCCTGGCTCGTTGTCGGGATGATATATTGTGAGGCTTACCCTGATCGTCATCATCATTATGGCCCTGACCAGCTTGATCATGTACCTTCCAAAGCACCAGATCCGGCACGCCACCGCCGCGACTCTGATACTCCTGTGCCATGACCAGCATGACCGTCCCCAGCGCCTGGCCCTCCCAACACGCCACCAACTCCAAAAGGTCGTCCTTTTCAAACTCGTCCCACCTCACTCCGACAATGCATGTCCGTCTGTCGTATTCCTTTTCCCACACCGCCTTCGCAATGTCCACGGCCTCGCCGTTGGAAATCTGATTGATCCGCGCCAGGATTTCAGGCATGCGGGCCGAAAAGAAACTGTCCGTGTGCAAGTCGAGCGGACAGGTCTGGTAGGCCGTTTGAAAGACGTTGGGGATATAGGGGTTGAAGAAGAGGATGTCGTGGAACAACAGCCCAAAAATCGTCCGCAGGATGCCGCCTTCGGAGTGGTAGCCTTTGTAGCCCAGTACGTGGCGATAGTGGGAGAGACACATTGATTCCACCGAGACGGGGAGGTTGGTGTCCAAGTGGTCGAGCCAGACTGTTTTGCCTCCAAGAGTTGGATTGCTTGGTTGATCGGGAAGAGAGGGACGTTTAATGCCGTTGTTTGCCGCTATTTCAACGTCCATGGTCGTGTTGATGCTGTTCTTCCGACTGAAGTTGAGACTGCGTGACGGCGTGTCGTCGCGTCCTTGCACAATTTTGATGCCTACGACATTTCTCTCCACAGCTTTCCCAAGCTTCACATGTCCAAAGTCATGTTGTTCCCGAAGCGGCACACGTAAATGCTTTTCCAATTTCTTGACCCGCTTCTGTAGATCGTAGTGGTAAATGACATGGCACTCTTTATCTTGCAGACCCTGCTCACAAGTATTTAGTGCGATGCGCTTCCAGTGCTTCTTATTTGCCTCGAGAGATCGACCTTCGTTCGATGTCAGAGCGTGCATGTAGTGCTCTTCCAACAGTGCTTTGCGTTGATACCACGCCCCTCTTCTCGCTGCATGGAAGAGTCGTTGATCTAGTAGCTCGTTCAATATTTCATGTTCGCGAAGATGCTCTTTGAACCGTGCAAAGGGGTGAAGTGCCTTATGCACAATACGCGTATATACCCATGCCGGGCTGAAACGACGCAGATAAGCACCCTCTCCACTCTCATAGACGCGGTCTTCCTTCCTTTGTTCCTCTGCCAATAGGGCTTTCCACCGCGGATACACCGCCTCAAAGATCCCTTTGACTTCCTCCAGAGCCTTCCGACCTGGAGTGCCGTTGAATTCAAGGATGTTGTCCACCCGGAACTGCGTGCGGAGACTAGCCTCGAATTCGAGTAGAAGGGCACGCGACTCAAAAATGGTGGTCGATCGGCTCACAAGGTACTCTGGGAAATTGCGGCGGGAGATCTTCGCGAGGATCAGGGTCGTGAGGCTTTTCTCCGTCCATTCCGTGCTGCGGTAAAAGACAAGATGTACCCGTTCGAATAGCTTCAACGGGGTCAGAGAAAGCCGGATGCAACGTCCTGTCCGATCGAGGATTTTCTTCGTGAAATGCGCATCTCGATTCGTGCTCGTGGGGATCGGTGTGCTGGGGCCGCTGCTTTCCTCTCCGTCGTCTTCATCATAGACGGAGTGATTGTCTTCAGATATGGCACTTGCCGACTCCTGCGTTTCTGTCCGCTTTAATTCTTTGAACCCCAGCCCAGCTTGCCTGCCGCTGGTGCGCCGGAAATTCTGCAGCAATTCTCGTTTATTCTTGCCGTGGACTTTCGCCTCTTTGGCAATGCTCTTCAACTCATCTAAAAGCAACAGGCTGCTAGCCTCGTCCAGTGTTTTAATGTGCTCTGACGAACATTCTGCGAAAGTAAATGTCTCACCCAAAACCGTGCCCTCGGGAGGTTCCAATTCCCCCGGATGGAGGTCAGGTGCCTCGTTGACGGCAGGCACAAGTCTCTCCTTCTGCAATTCCGCGACTGCAGCCTCCATGTCTGCAACATCGCTATAATACTGAAGGTCTTTGACTCGAAACCATTTACTGGTCTTGCGAAGGAACAGCCTGACATAGAGGTATTGCGCTTCGTAGCTCAGATCTCTCCATACGCCAAAGAGACTCAGTTCAGAATCATTGAAGAGATGTGATTCCTCGTCTAGGACCGTGTCCAGAGCGAGATTGAATGCATCCACGTAAATGGAACTGCGTCCCCTGGACCAAGAGCGCGATTCAAGCGTCGACAGCGCCGTATCTTTGTCTCGGCGTTCTTGGTCCCCCTGCACATATTCACTTGCCTTGTAAGCCTCGTAAGCCTCTATGGCTTCCTCGTCCGTTTTGACCGGTGGCAGAGTAGCCTCCAACTGTGTCGCCCTGGGAGGATCGGAGACTTGAGCTGCTCGTCCATGCAGGTCGTCTTCTTCGAGCTCTTCTTCCGAGTCTGCAATCTCATTCTCGATCCTCCTCTTCTGAGCGAGCTTCCCAGGAGACTCGCGCCTCGGACTGGCTGCGGTTCCGTTGGATACGGCAGCTTTCAATCGCTTCGCAGGCGGGGAACGGAACTCGTCGCTGTCATGAAAATTGGTGGTCAAAGGCTGCGGGATTCTTGTTCCCATCAAGCGGTTGTGCATTGACGGCGACTTTGGTTCGAGGGCCATGGATACTCGAGGGTCCTCTTCCCGACTAGAAAATGCAGGAAGAAGCCTTCCCCCAGAATTCAGTGCCGCTGTTAGGTGGGGAATGTGCCATTGGGAGGAAACGCGTCAAGGCGACGCGCAGTCACGCGTTCAGCTTTGGCGCCGCTGATAGAGATGGGCGTCTGACAAGTAAATTTATAGTATCTATCCAATCAACTAGTGGAAAGAGGGAGCTACCCTCATTAACTGTGTCCTTACTCTCGGTCAGACGGTACCAGTTTCTATCTTTGTTTGGCGGTACCAACAGATTGTTAATCGCTCGAAGCAATTGTCATTCGTAAACTTATTCGTATGCTCCGTAGTGCATCATATGAACACATGATCTCAGTCATATCTGGGGCTCTATGAGCAGCAGCGCATCGTGCATCTACAAACTATCTCTCCACCCCGCCATCATTGGGCACCCGGCTACAATGGAGTTGTGCCAGTGTAGTTCCCATGCTGCGTCGAGAAGTCACCCAGCTGAGTTAGGCTTTTGACTCTACCCAGCAAAAACTCCAGCTGTCGGTACGCGGCGCCGGGCACGTATTGGGGAATCTCATGGCCCGCAAGGTCAACAGTCACCCAGGTCAATCCTCTTTCGGTGTGCGTGGTGCCCATGTATCCACCACCCGCGACCAAGCCCACGGGTGTGGCGGGGATAGGCTGGTTGTTTATCTCCTGGATAACGAACCCAATCGAGGGGTTGTAGGGCACGAAGAACTTGTCAGATGGTCTCTTGGAGAAGCCTTGCGCGCCGTTCCAGGTCATGTTGTTGAGGGTCATCAGCGTCCCGTTGGTCAGGAGGAGGTAGTCCAAAAGACCGCTGCCGACGATGACGTTGTTGGTGTGTTCTATGACATGGGGAAGGGCGCTGAAAGATGATGGGGGCGATTGATCACCCTTGGGGAACAGGTTGGGGTCACCGCAGATCACGTAGTCGGTGGGAGGGGCGTGGATGGCGGCCTGGACGTCGCTGCGGTTGAAATAGTTGTTGGGACCATTGCCGAGAGATGGGAAACCGAGCTCGTCATTCAAGAAAGGGCAGAAATCTGTTCGTCAGCAACCATGAGGTTAGTCCGGGTCCCTTTCGCGAGCGCAACGGGAGGGAAACATCGAAAGAAGTCTCGTCCTACCTGTCAAGTGGTAAAAGTTAAGGCAAGGGTTGACGTAGATCGCGGCGTTAATGATATCCTCCCAGACAAAGCAATCTATGGCAACCGAAGTTAGCATCCAAGGACTCTGGATCCAAGGATATTGATAAGTCGAAAAATCGATCGTCGGGAGATTCGCTCACCTGGGTTTGATGCGTTCACTGGTTCGTGAAATTTGCCCTTAGGTGGGAATGTCAAGGCATTTTCCATGTACTTGATGTAGCCGCACTGCTCTGCCCGCTTGTTGATCGCAGACATGAATGTGTCATTAAGGCCGAAGATATTGGCATAGTTGTTCAGGTGCGTGACAGCAGGCACTGTGAGCTCCAGGGTCAGCTAAATTGGCCAACGTCCATGTTAGGATAAACTTGGCTTGTACCTTCAGTGAGGACGGAGCTCAGCCCTATACTGGGATCGTTGATCTGGATGCCAGCGACGTTGTAGTAATCGGTGTTGTTCTGATCGATCATATAGCTGGCAATGTAGGGAATGTATTGTCCGGCGTACGACTCGCCGGTGATGTAGACCTTCCGACCAGTCATGTTGAAGGTGGTCATGAAGTTTTTCCAGAAGCCGGCAAACTGTCTGCCAACATCAACCTCGTTGTTGATCTTGGCTGGAGCTCCCGGTGCTGCAGGGGAAAATCCCGTGCCAATCGGCTGGTCGACATATACCATGTTGGTAAGATTCACAAAGGAGAACGGGTTCGGTAGTGGAGCGTAAGTCCCGGACTGCCAAAGGAATGGGCCATGTTCTTGCAGAAGCCCGTCGAGTGAGCTGCATCCCGGTCCGCCGTTCAACCAGATGGTGATCTCGTCCGACGCCGCTGGGTTGTCCGAGGGGAAGAACCAAAAGAACAGCTGGTTTTGGTTCGAGCTATTTCCATCAATAGGCAGCGTGCCGGCATAAGACTCGCCAACGTCGAAGTTAACCATTGGGATCCCGGTGCCATTGACGGCAAACTCTGTCCTTGTCAATTCCCCTCCTACTGTGGAGTCCGGAGTATCAAAAGCCGGGAGACTCACTTTCGGTCTGAGGCGTCAAGTAGCTCGACTGTTGTCGTTTCGAGAGCGTTGAGAAGGATGGGCGCTCTTGAGGTGCAGCAGGAGCTCTCTTCGCTACCCTCTGCGCGGCCCACTTGTGTGGATTCTCAACAACCTGCGCAAAAGCGCCAGCCGCCAGTGATGCGGTCAGAAGGGCAATGTAATACATGGTGACCAGATGCTCGCACAAGAGGGGAGAAGAGACGGAATGGCAGACTCGCGGCGTCCGCGACGCAGAAGAGTATTTATGGGATACATGTTAAGCTGCGGGACCTTACCTTGAGCTACCTGACACAGCAGATCTTCGCGCTACGACGGGCAAGCTGTCGCATGACACAGGAGCACCATAGGCAGTAGCGAGATAGGAAGGTTGCATTTCTCAATACAGATGGCGTTTGGCTCAAGGTTGGGACGATCAAAATGCTTGATAAAGCTTCACCCTGCTCGTTTGTGGGGGAATTGTGGATGTACGGGGGACAATCATTGCCTTTTGCAGCAGGTCGAAGGATTTCACGCCTCATGCCTTGGGGGGCAAAGGAGGATTGGGCCGAGGGATGTAACTCGAGTATAGACAATATGTGGATTGCCTCCTCGAAGCTAATGGTTGCTAGTACGTAGGGAAGCCAGGTAATGGGCTGGCCCTCACATCATCGTAATCAAGCAGTGAATGGGTGGACGGGAGCTGCCGATCAATGCATATCGAGATTCACCAGGCGGAAATCCTCCGGAGAGATACGTAAAAGCAATCTAGTCCCATGCAGTTTGGGGATTGACTTCTTCTCGAAGCACAGAAGAGTAGAGAACAAAGAGCAGAGAACAGAAGAGCTGAAAGCGGAAAGCAGCTTCATCCGCGAGGTTAACAGCAGAGTTCGACATTGGCCAATGATGATGGGACCCCGATGGCTATAATCTTACAAGGAATCTTTGGCCATCTTTGCCTTGTACTTATCCTTGTACCTAAGTATCCTACATGCCTCCGATCCTGTTTTCTTTCCACCACGACCCTCCTGGACCGACACACAGCCAATCGGACGAATAAGAGTCACGGTTCCTGTTCCTTCTCGCCTTCTTCCATCCGGCACTATCCGCTGGTCCCCCAGGCACCTGTACTTTTGCTGCATTAAGATTGCGAATCCGTTGCTCGAAATTGCTCGAAAAATCAATCAATGAACGGACAAACGCTAAGAGTTGTCAAGGACATTCATCCAAATTACACTAGATAGCTGTCGAGGTGGAGTTCCAATCATGGGGGTATACATACACACACTCACTGCCCAAAAAAGACCAAAAAGATAACAGCATATTGCCTTTGGTACTTTTGCACCTGAATCTCCTCACACTTTGTTCAAAATGGCTTTGTCCATATCCGTGCCGGGGGCTGGCGAAATGCCGCTTCCCGAGTCCGAGCCCTCTTTGCCATCGATTACATTTTCTTCTCTTCCAAGCATCATGTGCTGGATGTTGACCTTCGGTCCCGTGAACCACTTGTGCGCGTCCACCACCCACCAGACCAGAACAAGCAGCATCGGCCCACCCCACACCAAACAGGTCCAGTTCATCAGTGACGCATCTAGATCCGAGCCCGTCACGCTGGGAAGGCAGAGAATGGGAATCATCAATAAGGTAAAGCAAGTCGACGCCACACCAATAGGGTACGAGAATTTGCCAAGGTGCCATGGTCCGCGACGGAAACGGTTGCCCACGAAGAAGGTTCGAATGGTGATAGGAATGGTGAAGGCCACGAATGCTGCAATGGCGCCGACGCTGAAGATGGCACCGATGGATGCCTCGCCCCCAAAGAGGAGCAAAGTCAGAAGAATACCCACAGCGCAATTCAACCACACAGCATTGACCGGAGTCTTGGTTATCGGGTTGACTTGTTTCCACAGGTTGGAGAAGGGGAAGCAGTTATCACGGGCGTACGCAAAGGTGACTCGCGATGCCGCGATCATGCAACCTTGGCCCATGGAGAAACCGCAGATGATGGTCATCGAAAGCAGGGCCAGAGCGGTGTTCCTAGGCAGGATTTGCATAAGGTAAGATGCCCAAGGTTGGCCGATATCCGAATTCAGGACGTCATCGATATTGATCACGGTATAAGCCACCACCAACTGCAAGAACCAACCCATGATACCGCCAATTCCTGAAGTCAGGACGATGGCCCGAGGACTGGCAATGTTTGCGTTGCTGCATTCCTCAGCTAGATGGAAAGGCGCATCATATCCCGACATGGTCCAGATAACGGCGATAAAAGACATGAGGAGAGCGACACCATTGGGAAAGTCTGTTCCCTCGTAGAAGTTGCCCCAGACTGTGCTGCTCTTGGTGAAACGAGGCAGCCCCTGAGATTCACGAGTGGTGGCCGCCGGAATCGTGATGATGGTGATGACCAATGCAATGATGTTGAAGGTGCTCCCGTATGAGTTGAAGGTGGCGATCCAGCGGGTAGGCATGGACGAGATGCATGCATGAATAATCATAATCAGAGTGGTCAGGAGGAACACTTGGTAATTCTGTGGGACATAGTTGGGGTTGGCGATGGATCCAGCGGCGAGGATCATCGAAGCCAATGCATAGTCGACGGAAGGTGCGCCTGTGACTTGGACCAGCCAATTCGACCAACCAGTGATCCAGGAAGCTAGAGGACCATACCCCGGAGGAGCCAGCACCGCCGCGGCGTAGTAGAGACCACCCGATGTAGGCATGGACGAACACAGCTCAGCTATATTTTGTCAGCATAGCACCTCACAAGTCTTTTCCTTCCGGGAACCTAATAAGAGACATA